ATATAAAACGCATATTTATGTTATTGGAGAATTGTTCTGGGACATTTTTCTGTTTTTCAGGTGTGGTTCTATTGAAAAAACAAACAAATTTTTAAAAAAAAAACGCCCACTAGACGTCCGTTAGTGTACAGTCGGACGTCTATAGACGTCCGTCTGTGCACATACGGACGTCCCACCCCAGCCCTACACCAAAAGAACTCAGCAAGGTAGATGTCCGTCCTCAGACAGCAGCGGACGTTTATATGGACGTCCGTCCTCAGACAGCGGACGTTTATTATAAACGTCCGTGGTTAGGCAGCGGACGTTTATTATAAACGTCCGTCCTGAGGCAGCGGACGTTTATAATAAACGTCCGTCCTCAGGAACGGACGTTCATATAAACGTCCGTCCTGATGCAGCAGACGTTTATATAAACGTCCGTCCTCAGGCAGAGCGGACGTTCATATAGACGTCCGTCCTCAGGCAGCAGACGTTCATATAGAAGTCCGTCCTGGCACGACGGACGTCTGAGGGACGTCTACCACATAGACGTACGGCGTACGCCGGACGTCAAAAGACCAAAATATCGGACGTAAAAAGCCGTTTCTGCACTAGTGGTTTATCCTATATTCTTAAAAAAGAAAGATGTATTGAGTAATAATCAACCTTTCTAATTGAGATTTTGGAAAATCAAAGGTTATTTTTTGCATTGGTTGCGTAGAAATTTCAAATATTTGTTAAAATTTGCAGGCAGATCTTTAACATAAATTAATAAATTAAATTTAACTTAAAAAAACTTATTTTATAAAGTATTTACGAACTAGATGTACTCATATACCCTCTTGATTTATTACACTGACTGTTTAAAAGTTTAAGTGTTTCATCATTGTGGAAGAAAAATTCTGCGATTTTCATCTCAGTTTCAATCCAACATAGTTGGGAAGATTTATAAAAGCAATGATTTGGAAGGTGATTATCTCTGCTTTACAAATTAAAAATGACTATTTAATTTAAACTACTCTTTCTACATTTAAATATAAGCAAAATACATATATTTTATATTAATTAACAATGTTAATTAAGTTCATTTATTTGTTTCATTTTATGTACAAAATTACATTTTAAAAATATTTTTATAGTTTTTTGAGATTATGTTCAAATTTAAATTTAAGAATATTTCCAATTAAATTAGTTAAATTTTGTTTAAACATTTTTTCGTATTTGTTGAGACAATACTATTCAATATCGTACTTTTACATTTTTTACAACCTTTTACCATTACATAATAGTTTTTAACCAAAAATGTTGGTGTCGATATAATATTTTTTGAAATTATTGGTTTAATATTTTATTGCAGTGGAAATCCTAATATATACGTTGGCTCAGTCGTACTAATCTCCACATCATAAGAAGGAGAGTTTCGTGGGTTTTGTCCATATACCTTCACTTCCTGAAATCCCATCTTCTTTCTTCGATTTTTCTCTCATTTTTCCTCCCTTTGCAAGAACCAGAGTGAAAACGAGCACTACCTTGAGAAGAAAGAGAAGAGGATCAATGTCAAACTCAAACATCACAAGCTGTGATAGTTGGAGCTTCTCCACAGAGAACACCGGAGAAGATGCAGCAGCAGCAGCAGTTAAGCACCAGCAACTAGAGATGCTTCCCCAAAACCACAGTCCAAATTCAAACACTTCAACTACAACAAATAATAGCAATGCCTCAAACACAAATTCACAACCACCTCTCAAGAAGAAAAGAAACCTACCAGGGAATCCAGGTCTGTTAATTTCTCTCTTTTTCATTCATTTTTCTCTCTCTATCTATTCACACCAACATTCTCAGCTTACTGTTTTTCTCTTTTTTTTTTTTTCTATAATTTAAATCCACGGATCATCAAATTAATTAAGTGCCAGCTTCTTATATTGGTGATAATCAGTTCTTATCAGTGATTGATCAGTTTTCATGTACTGAGAATTTGAGGTGTGTGTATATATAGCCATTATCTGTTCGTAACAATTACTATGTGGACGTGTAAAACTAGAAGAAGATATAGAAAGCAAGATTTGATGATATTTAGGTGAATTTGATTTACATGAATGTTGTTTGAATTGGGGAGGAAAACTAGGGTGTGTTAAATTCAAAAAAATGAATAGCAAAAAAGGTTGAATTATTGGTGAGTGATGAAATGGTGGAAAGAAGAAGCTCAATTATTGCCTGCAGGGTTTCACAATCATTGCAGTTCACTGTTGACTTTTCTTCACTGCTGCCTGATCTCAAACTTTTTCTTTATTCTTGTTTCACACCTGTTTCAACAAAAAGGTTCATACATATTGGTCATGTTAAATCTTTCTATCTCTTTTCTGCTTAATTTTTGACTCCTGCATGTGAACAAACATTCCACTAACAAATTTTTCAACATTTTTTTTTTATTTTAATTTTGTCATGTTATAATCTGAATATAAATGAAATATTTAAATAAATAAAGGTTTTTTTTTGGGTTTGCTTTCGGTGCATGTCAAATTAATAATTAATGTTGAAGGTACTATAGAAAGGAAACATGTGCATGCACACTTATATATAGACTGTATATAGTTGATTAAAATAATAATTTTGGTGTGAGTGGCACGTGTGCAGACCCGAATGCCGAAGTGGTAGCCCTGTCGCCGAACACCCTGGTGGCCACAAACAGGTTCGTGTGTGAAATATGCAACAAAGGGTTTCAAAGGGATCAGAACCTTCAATTGCACCGTCGAGGGCACAATCTACCGTGGAAGCTGAAACTCAGAACCACCACCGAAGTGAAAAAGCGCGTTTACGTTTGTCCCGAACCCTCCTGTGTCCACCACAACCCGGCTCGAGCGCTGGGCGATCTCACCGGCATTAAAAAGCACTTTAGTAGAAAGCACGGCGAGAAGAAGTGGAAATGTGAAAAATGTTCTAAGAAATACGCTGTTCATTCTGACTGGAAAGCACATTCCAAAATATGTGGAACCAAGGAATACAAATGTGACTGTGGCACCATCTTTTCCAGGTTCAAATTCATTATCTAATTATTTCAACCGCAAAATTATATTTCTTTAATCTATTCAGTTATACGTCTATGTTTTTGTTATAAGATTCATAAGAAAAATTAAAAAAATACAAAATTTTTGTTTTTTTATGATTATTTTATTATGTGTTAAATAAATAAATATATTTTTTATAACATTTTATTTTATTTTATATTATGTGTCAAATGTAAAAATCACATTCAAAAATATTAATTCATAAATATTAATTCGTAATTTTCGCACAAGTTGCATGCATTGGTTAGGTGAGGTAAAGTGTACATAGTCGACTTTGATCACACGTGATTGATTAAGGGTAAGGAATTTCAGAATTTTAATAAATTTAATTTAATTAATTAATTAAGTTCCTTTTGAAATAATTCTTTAGACGAAATGATTGAAAATTCCTTTTTTGACGAATTAGTTTTGACTTTTTTTTTATTTGCTTTGAAAATTCCCAAAAATATATATATTCTCATTATCTAAATATGTCATTTTAATGTATGATATATATTTTAAATTCACTAAAATTCTATTATTTTATTTTTGATCTGATCATCTCGATTCTTTTCCAATCCTTTGTGGCTTCATGTGAATTCTGTTCATTGATATTATTAGTGCAGAAAAATAACTCACTGCATAATATTATGATCTGCAGAAGAGACAGTTTCATCACACACAGAGCTTTCTGCGATGCACTGAGTGATGACAGCAACAAATTCAACGAAGCAGGACAACTGCAAAGTATAATGCATGCTTCAAACCTGCAACCACCAATGATCCCAAACCTAGCAGCATCACTACCAATCAATACCAACAATCACAAGCAACCATTACCACTCCCTCACGACCTCATTGCAGGAATTCCAGCAAAACCCTTTAGCAGCAACATGGCAGCATTGCCAAGAAGCCTTTCATCCACCTCTTCTCTCTCTCAACTGTGCTCAAACTCACCACACATCAACATGTTTGAGGAAAAGCCTCAAACAAACATGTCTGCCACGGCACTGCTTCAAAAAGCCGCACAGATGGGCGCAACAGTGAATAGTAACAGCAACAGCATGATGACTGACACGGGCTTTGCTACAAGCATGGCACCACCATCGTATGGGGTCATGAACCACCACATTCACCACGGTCAACAAGACCTGTCTCAGTATAACTTCCATGAAAATGGGACGGTGATGATGGATGGTGTTGGCAATGGCATGGGAGGAATGAGTGGTTTGGATATGTTTAATGCCATATTGGATCAAAGTAAGGCGTTGTCGAAGATCATAGAGCAGAACAACCGAAGCAGTTATAGTGGTGTTTTGCATGCAATGAATAATGGTAGGTCAAGTTCCATTGATGTTGGTGGAGCTAAAGGGAGTGAGGATGTGATGACTTTGGACTTGTTGGGGATAGGAGGAGGAGTTGGTGGTGGTGGTGGTGGTGATGGAAACTTCTTTGGTGGTGAACAGTCTGAACTAAAGATTGAATATGGAGAAATGAGTCAAATAAGAATCCAGGCTTTGAACCATTTTCAGCAACAAACAGCAGCATATGAAAATTAAGACTTGGTTGAGACCAAAATAAAATAATAATTTGCATGTTTCTGATCTAGGTGGAAATTTTCAGCTTTGTTCTGTGAACTAATTCCTTTTCTACCATAAATAGTATACACATTATTATGATAGGTTTTCCTATCACTAATATCAGTGTTGTGGACCCTTTTGGTCCCTTAAATCAGTGTTCACTTTTCAGTGTCTTGAAATGAATAATGGTCTAGTTAGTTCAATGCGAGCAAAAACAGTAGTTAGTTCAATGTGTATACTGAGACTTTCAATTTCACTGATCACATTCTCTATCTTACCAGTAAGAATGTAATATGCTGGAAATTTGTGGGAACTGTTTTTTGAGTTTCATAATTATAATCACTTTGTTTTATAATATATTGTGTTATTTGAAATGCAAGTAACATTTATGAAATATGTTGTGTACATCGACAATTTAAACAATTAATTTTAAGGTAATAATAATATATGGTAACAATAATAAATATACCATATTTCTATAAAGATAGTTTTACTAAGGTAATTTATTTTTAATAAATACATTACTTTGATTTAATAGTAAATCATGAAAAAAAAAATAAAGATTTATTGAAAGGTAAAAGAATAAGTTAATTTAATTTTTGTTATAGTAAAAAGTGCAGTCAATATATAAAACAGATATAGTATTATCTAATACACAATTATATATGTTGAATTTATTGACTTCAAAATAACCATATTAAATGTCATGTAACTAATGGCCAGTGTTTAGAAGATGAGAGTATAATGATTTTATATTAATGTTGAATAATAATTAAATCCACCAATTAATTACCTATTTGATGATATTGACAATATTTTATGCTTTGAAATTTACTGAAAATTAACAAATTTGTGTAGGTCTAATTCTTTATCTTAGAGAATGTTTTTATACTCATTATATATATATATATATATAACTTTTTCATAAAATATTTAGGGTGTCAATAATTTGTATTATTTTTTTAAAATTCTTGTAATACTGTATTCACATATCGATATTCTTATTACATTATTTAATTTAAGTTATTATGTTTTATATTATGCATTCGATATTGTTATACTATATCTTAAATGTTTTTAATAAAGCTTAAAAATGAAATAACAATAACTTGCATTCAGTATTTGTCGTGCTTTTATTTACCATTGTAATGGTTAATTTACTTGTTAGTGTTTTGGGGAAGAATAAAGAGGTGGCCATAGAGAAATAGATAAAATAATAATTTTCCTTCTCGAAAAGTACTTAAATTATTAGTTAAGAAAAAAGACTTTGTTTTCTTCAAACAATAAATGCATATTACAGATATTTTACAGATCTTAAAAAATAGATAAAAATCTATTTTTAAGAATTGTATTTTTGAAGGTTTTTATTTGAATTTCATTTTTAAACTTCAAAACATTATTAATTATTATTTTTCATTCATGCCCTTGTATTTTGTCTGGTTTTAAATTCGTTTATATATAATGTGAAAACCAAAAAAAAAAAAAAAGAACATAAACATTATAGATATTTTTTTGAAACTTGAAAATTATCATATTTTTTGTTTTTGTTTTTTTTTTCTAAAAACACCTTAAACAACATTACTAAAAAGAAATAGAGAATGGTAATAATATTTATAAAGACTATATTTATAATATTTTTCTAACGAAATTCATTTAATTTTGAAAATTACAATGACAAAAGCCTACAACAATCTAAAATTATATTTTAAAATTTTTATTTCCTGTATCACCGACACAAGCTAATTCATCTAAATACCTATCTTTCTTTCATTTTTATCAATAAATGTAACTATTCGTTGACCAACAGAAAAAACCAAACCATGAGGCAAGCATAACTATAATTCACATTAAATTATGTCTCCACAGTAAAAAAATTCTCAAATACACTTTAACTTCTCAATTTGATACAATTTTATATGTCAATCCTTTAAATAAATATACTGAAATTAGTTCATAAAAATTTACAATTATAATTTAGAAATAAAATAAAAAGTGAAAATTAATCTTAAAAAATGGCATCGCTCGATTTCCGTTCACTTGGATATAATATAACAAAGTAATTAATGAATAATAATTGCAGACTTCCTACTCGTTAAAACAATTTTAATATTTTTATAAATATGGAAACTCGTTATAATTTACAAGCATACCTTAAACAGTGAAAAACTCAATTTTTTACTTTTTCATTTACCAAATCGATGTAATTGTCTAGAGAAAAATAAGTCTGTAATCAAATTTTTTATAATATTATCATTAATTAAAATTTACGTACAATAAGCTAATATATCTAGCTATATATGTCATACATTTACTGTAAATTCATTTATTACATTGAAAATTGGTGAAGATCTTCCATTTAACAAAGTAAATATAATAAATATGTTTTTCTTCAACGAATTTCTGAAAAATCACCAAATTTATGTATTTTAAAAACATTTCTACAATTTTTTAAGGACCAAAAAGAGTATTTAATAAAAATTAAAAAAAGGTGTTGACCATGCAAATTAAGAAAAACCGAAGGGGTATGTGGCTATTTGCGAAAGTTGCAGAATCAGAGTGGATCTGCGAAGAAGAGTGCATCAGCAGAAAGAAAACGTTGATATATAAGGCTTTACCACCTTCGTATTGCATCTGCATCTTCAATCTGGAGCCATTTATGCAGTTGTGTGGTTGAATCTATGTTATAGGAGTTAATTTTGTTCCAAGTGAAGCGAATTGGTGGATCTGAAGTAGCGATGGCGATGGCGATGGCGAGAGCAAGTTCTGGTCTGCAATACCCAGAGCGGTTCTACGCTGCGGCCTCTTACGTGGGGTTTGATGGATCCGCTTCTCCAACCAAAACCCTCACTTCCAAATTCGCTAAGTCTACCTCTCTTCTTCTCTACAGCTTATACCAGCAGGTACCACCTCAACGTCCTTCACCATCTGCATTGCACTGTGCCTCTTGCACACTCTTTCAATATGGATTTCTATTTTGATTTTTGGCTTTGGCTTCGTTGTGTTCTTGTCGGTGAGGCCATTCTATGTTAATTGATTCTGTGCTTGTCACTAGATCTGAATGAGATTGATGGATTGGATTGAAATGGAAAGATTTGTGTGACTCGATGGTTACCTCGTTTATAGTTTATGGGAATGCTTTTTCATGCTGATTGATCTCATGGAGGTGGGTGACACGTAATTTGGTTATGACATGTGAGAAGTGTGTGAATTGGATTAATGTTAAGTGTTTTAGATGTTATGTTTTGACAATGATTTGGTTGTTTGGGGGACTGGACGTGGAAACATTGGCTGCTGTGTTGATCTGTGTGGGTGTTCTCTGTTTTTCTGATTGATGTAATCAATGGAATCGTTGGCTGCAAAATACTAGAGTTGATGCGCGATCGTAATGTTGCTTGTATTTGGCACACTAGAGGTTGATGCCTTGGTTGGCTAAGCCGGAGAAGTCATAGTTTCGTGAAGGAATGGAATGTGATTTACTAGTCAGCCAATGGTTTTTTTGAAATGGGCTGATGTTGCTGAAATTAAAATAACAAATTTCGTATTAATTTATTGGAAAATTTGTTATTTCAGGCTAGTGTGGGACCTTGTAACGTCCCAGAACCAAGTACATGGAAAATAGTGGAGCATAGCAAATGGGCCAGGTTTGTTTGCTTTAAACACACATGCTGGTTTTCACTTTCTGTATGCTCTTTGCGTATCTGCTTGACATCTCTGTTCTATATGTACGCCTTTGTGGAACATTAAGGTCTTACCATACGTGTCTTTGCATTTTCATTTTACAGATATTTTGTCATGAATACTGCACTTTCTTTTATCAATGTTATTTTTTAATGGTATTATACTAGCAAGATGCACAATTGCGTTCCTAATCTCATTTTGTCAACAATATTATTAAAGGTAGTAATTATTGATGCAGTTGGAACCAGCTTGGAACCATGTCTTCCACTGAAGCCATGCGTCTTTTTGTGAAAATATTGGAGGTCATGCAAATAATTTTACATAATCATTCTTCTTGGTATATTGTAGACTGTTAGCTGAGACGTTTTCTTGTAATTTATTTTTCTGCGTAGGAAGAAGATCCTGGTTGGTATTCAAGAGCATCTAACTCTGTTGCAGAACCTGTCATAGACGTGCAAATGAATGTGAGTGTTATTAAGGGTATCAGCTTTATATTATATCGAGTCCTGTTAATGCTATGGTGTTTTCTTTTTAATAGTATTCATAAGTTTGCCTCTAGTAGTAGCTATGCTGTCGACTTGTTATGCACTTATAACTTTATAGAGTGATCAGAATGTAGTTTTTATTCTGGTTCAAAAAATTAAAGCAAAAACAGATGTTCTTCGGCAAATAAAATTTAGGATATTTTATAATTGCAATATATTTTTATCACCTTTCACCCTGGTAGGATATGAAATAATAAAAAATAGAAATAGGAAGAGGTTTTGTTAATAAGGAAAATAAATGAAGAACGATCTCAGCTGAGATTTTCCCAAGAGCTCAACTCCTTACAGAGAAGTCTCTCTCTGCAATGGATCCAGCTCAAAACCAAAACCCACCAAAATGACGCCCCCTTCCCATGATTACCCACTTATCTATAACTTAATCATACCTCTCACACACCATGGATTCCACCCACATAGCCAGCTCTGCATTCCAAAATTTTCTCCTCCCAACACATAAAACCGCATATAGGCTCATTGCGTCAACTTTGTGCCTCCTGTTATAAACTTTTGATATATTGGGTCCTTAAGACAATTGGTCATTCGGGCCAGTATTCAGGTTCCTATCACACCCCAACAGACGTGCACACAATTGTTATACAACTTAATCGAGTCAGTGATTTTGTTGCAAGTCATATACAGGATTCCATGATTTCAGATTTAGGATTTGATAGTTAGGTTAAGAATTTAGATTAATGTAAGAGGCATGTCAACTTAAGTGGTGTCAAGCTGTCAATAACATTGTAATAAGAACACATTCCTCTATATTCTTATCCACTTTTGTTGCCACAGTCAAAGTAGTGATTTTTTTTTCTTCCTTTTTTTCCTGCTTTCCAATTCCATCTTGCTGGTTTGACAGCATAATTCCAAAGTTGAACCAGTAATTGAGAATGGAAACTCTTATCCAGAGACAAAGACTATTTCCACCCAAAAT